GCACACATAACACTTGTAAGTATAGACGCTCTTTTACCAATATGAACGGCAAAACGAAATTGGCGATGCTCGCTTTCTAGCCCCTCTTATCAGCTATTATCAGTCGTTATCAGTTCCTATCACGTACCACTTGTGTCCCCATCCCACCCCCTATAACATATGTAAGAACCACTGCGCTATCGTTACTGTGACTCGAGCTATGAATTTCCGGTCAAACACACACACACACCAACAGACACACGCTAGCCGCTTATATATAGTAGGATATAACGCAACTAGTTCATTCGATCATAGAAGTAGTTGGTTTCGTTTTCTTGTACACGCGCATTCACTGAATGCAGCAATTTTTCGCTAACAAAAACGTAGTGGAATGCTCTCCGCACCTGTTCTCGCATAGATTCCATGGCAGCCGTAGACATGAGAGAGTAGAGCTCAGCTCCTGACCATCGACCTTCACACTGTTCTGCCTAAAAGTCGCTGATTATATGTCCATTCAAGACTTCACGCGCCTGTGAGCGGCATGAAGTACGAAAGTAGTTGTGTCACGGAATGATTAACTACATGCTACCCCAGAAGATCTCATTTTGCTTTCAGCAAGCAAGCTGAAGTTGATAGAAAATTCGTATCTAGTAGTGCTATGTGAAAGGGTCACAAAGGCCAGTTAAGAGGAATGAGGTACCGAACCACATTGCGAAGGTCGACGTCGTCGGCCAATTTGAGATTCCTGCTGACTGCTTTCAGAATCTTCGCCTTCGATTCCACATCTTCTCCTGGAGCCACCTCGATCACCTTGTCAAACCTAAAATCTGATGTTTCGTCTGTAGAAAATGAAAAAATAAAGTATTTGGTGCTACTTATGAAAAGCACGACGTCATAGAGTTTCATATTACTATTTCTTCCTTTTTTATTGGTGAAAAACCGTAGAGTCTCAAATGCGCCACAACGGAGCAACTCTCGAGGAATGCTGCTGTCGAAGGCGGCGTTTGCTGACCAACTGACATGACTTGTCCAGTAAGCGTCGAAGAGGTATGGAAGCATTGCTTGACTCATAGCATCAATCTTACTCGACACAGGGTAATTATACTTTAACTGAATAATATGTATGACCACGAAATGAGTAAAATCTGCAAGTGGAGTGGAACTGTAGCAACGTTATTGAGATTGCCATTACTCAGATTTTTGAATCGTCTGAGAAAGTGCTTGAGCGAAGCGGCAATTAGCGCCGCATTACGCGTGCTGGCCCGATACCCTGGTTGGGATCCCGCTCAGGTCAAATAAGCTCTTCATTGTGGTGGTCCGTTTATTGTTACAGGTTTCTAATTGGTTACAGCTCTTCACGTAGGTACAATCATTTCAGGTCACCACAACGACTTCGCATAGAACTCGAATGCATGTCGCATCTCAAAGAAAGCTAAATGACAACGGATGATTCAGCTTTCTTCCGTCAGCGAAGCCATTATCAAATTCTGATGCGTCATCCAGAACAGGGGCGCTCATGTCATTAGGGAGGTACAATCGACTGAGTGGGTTGCTCCCTTCTCTTGGGCTTTGCTCTAGTGTCCACATATCAATCAGTTTCAGATGCTCTGCTTCAAGTGTGTCTCCCTCCCCCAAGGCTGTGAGTGCCCTGGTTCAGTATTTGGGTAGCAAAAAGGTTTAAAAGCAAGTCTCATAGCAGTGGAGTCAACGAGATTGGGGATTTGCTCCAGCGTTGTTCCTCAGTCATAAAGCAGTAGATTTTGCTCACTCGTCAGCTGTAAAAATGAAGGTATCCATCTAAACAAGGCGAAAACATACCGTCCAGGGGTCATTAACGAAGGATCGATGAGGTCCGCTCGCGGCCTCCTGCTTTTTTTCAAAGAATGGGACTTTCAAGAAGTGTTTTGAACATGGGAACGATCTCGTGGAGGGAATCTTTCAGCAGTTCAAGGGGTTATCTATCTTTTTAGATAATTGCTGCCCACTGGCTTCAATTTTCTTTTTTTCAGTGTTGTTCTTAATTCTCCCTTTCAATACTTACTTCTTATCCCAGCCGCCCTTTATATCACTCATAGAATCTGCTTAATTTAAGTCAATGATAAGCATTCAGATCCCTTCAGTGTCGTGGGACGACGTTGGTGGCTTTGAGGAAACAAAAAGGCTCATCATTGAGAGCATTGAGGCAAATCTGCAAGGCTCTCGACTGCAAGAGGTCGGGCATTATGTTGTTCGGACCGCCTGGATGTGGAAAGACGCTCATCGCCAAGGGTCTGTTTTCTCGTTATTCATATGGATATTACACATATGTGCGAATTTTAGCTGTGGCAACGGAATTCAAAATCGCCTTTTTGAGCGTCAAAGGACCCGAACTCCTAAACATGTACGTTGGTCAAAGTGAAGAGAACGTGCGTAAAGGGAGGTTTTATTTTTGTCAGTCTTCGTTGAAGGACTTTCATGTGAAGTGCGCCACGGGCCGCACCTAGAAAAAGAAATGCATCGCGTGCTACCCTGCGTTGTTTTGGATCCTGTGCATGAACGAAGGCGCTGGCTTTTAGATGGGTCAGGGGCTGCCATTTCTCGTCGTCCACCTTCATAAGCCTCTGCAGCCAGGATCTGAAGGCATCTGCATCACAGTGACGCGTCGAGAAACTCGGAATATTTTGACGGCGATGGCGACCTCTGAGTGCAGCCAACAGGTCAGAAAACCCTTCAAGACTTATTCTCACTCACTGTGGCCGCGTTTCTAATACCGACAACATCCCCCACTTTAATTCCATTTGCCATCCTTTCCATTCTTACGTGCAAGGGATACCTGGCTTTGAACTAAATTTAAGTCGACAGTGTTGAAAACAGCCACAGTTCGCGATTTTAAGATAGCTACTGTAGAATTTCTGAATCCCTTCGTCGGCAAACTGTTAGGAAAAAATGTCGGGAAATTTCTGCACTTTTCTCATACCTAGCTAGTCGTGACCCCTTCCCAATTTCAGAAATAAGTGCCGGTTTCGTTCTCTCCCAGAAGACAAAAATTCTGTTTTGTTGAGACCTAACCTTGTCCTTAGCGCGGGCCCATTGCAGATGGATGGGAATTTGCTTGCTGTCCGCTTACGGAATACTCAATCTTATTAGTCATAATGACTTTCATGAATATGTCTTACTTGCATATAATGAATAAGGGACAACAAGCTTCAAGTGATGATCACGGCAATTGAGCCATTGTTGGAACTAACCTCTCTTTCAGAAGGCTAGAAGCGCAGACCATATACCACAAGTGAAGACGGCCAAGAATAAGGAAAAGGAAAAGTCATGTTTTTCTTTTCAGTTGAGGTGTATGATCTGCAGTCGACGCTCTTCTCGTTTTCCTAAATAGAATGTAGATCGTTATTTTTGCGTGCAGAACAATTTGGTGATCACTTCATGGAATAATTGACTAAAAATTTACCTTTCGAAATTGGAGGAGCAGAAGTGATGTTTTGGCAAGCAGCGCTGCTTACCATGCGCCCGGTCTGTGGATCGAATCCTGGTTTGTGCGTCATCTAGCTTAACGAGGCCCTCCAATCCTCCAAGGTCAGCCGGGTAACAGACTTGTCTGGGAGGATAAAAACACTGACTTGAACATCGGCTGGCCCCGCAAGTCATTGTATAGGCCACATCGCATTCAAATGCCACTGCGAATGTACAAATGGAAGTAGAATGCGTGCCGCATCCCAAAACGGGATTGATCAACGGCAAATGCTCTGTTTTTAATCATCAAAAGATTGGAGCCTGACGGCGGCATTATTATAGACTAAGTGCGACTGCCCAAGGATAAGTCCATGTCTTGCACCATCCCCAGCAAAACCGACATTTAACAATTAGTTTTAGGGTTTTTGAAAGAGCACGACAAGCTTCGCCATGTGTAGTGTTTTTCGACGAGATCGACTCACTCGCTCCTAATAGAGGTCGCAACGGAGACGCGGGCGGAGTGATGGACAGGTATCTTGCACTTTTTATATCCGTCAATTTCATGTCTATCCAGCCAGTCGTCAATCATTGAAGATAAATTTCCTTGTTGTGAGGACTCAGAAAAGTCTTATGGACAGAGTGAGTTGTTTGCAGTGGGGTGGGGCGCGGGAATGATGGAAGGAAGCTTTCCCACTACGGTGGCTCAGTTTGTGAAACGTTATTTAGTTTTTTGATGGTGTGACCATTTCTTAGGCGAGTGTAATCACAAAACCAAAGTTTTTTTTTTACCATAGATTGAGGCAAAGCAGTTGGTCTTGTTACGTCTACGCTCTGCTTGGTACGACTTATCGCTTGGGATGTTTGCAGTGCGCTTGTTTTCACGTGCATAACAGAATTGCTGGAAGCTTTGCACCTAAGCGTTCTAGTAATGTTAGCTTCTCAGCCGTCAAATCCTCGATCCATTTATAAACGCTGTTGTGACATTCAAAGCTTCGTGGTTTGACATAATGGGAATTTGCTTATCAGTGGCCTTTCAATGAGACTACTTTTTTGCAAGCCTTAGTTTCCCTTGTAAGGGGTCCAACAGTCGCAGCTTTTTTTGTCACGAAAAAATGCCGTTCCGCATGTAATAAGTATTGCATTGAGCGGAAATTATCTGCCGTTTTCACATAACTTGACAAAATCACTTCATTATATAAACCAGAACTTTGGTGTGTCGGTTTGTCGGTGTGTGTGTGCGTGTGTCGTTCTGTCCGTCCGGACCGACCGCTCACAAAACCAGGGAGTACGAAGGGCAACACTTCGTGATGTTGATGTCATGATCATGATAACACCCACAGCGGCTATATAAACACCGATCGAGCACACTCAGTCTCATTCTACATGGTGCTGCCGTGGCAGCCGGATGAGCGGGGGGGAGGGAGAGGGGGGGCAAGAAAGGGGAGGCTGGAAGGGAGGGAGAGAGAGAAGAGGGGAGGGAAGGGGGAGAGGAGAAAGGGAGGGAGAATATGGCGCTGTCATGCGCCAGAGAGGAGGATATAAGGAGGTGGGGGAGGAGAGACTGAAAGAGAACGACCGTTTTTAAGAGTAAGATCTATATTTAATAGTCTAATGTATTATTCTAATCGATTGTGTGTGCATTGTTGATAACAACCACAATGGCTCATAAAACCATCGAACGACACTCGAGCCTGATGGTGCTGCGGGGCAGCTGAGTCAGAGGCGGTAGAGGGAGGGGAGAGGGAAGGGAAGGGGATAATTAACAGGTGGAGGAACATTGTGCGCAGTAGAAGGGGTATAAGGAAGTATAACACATTCAATAGTGAGGTGGTTAATGGAGTATGTCATGCTGCTATTCCGTGGTTCCTCCCTACCCTGTGATGCGCGCGATAGCAGGCGGAGCAAACCTGGTTTAAAAAACAACAGTTGCTTATTCAACAAACGTTGTGAAAGTTCTATCTGCTTCACCCCAGGCTTCGTCGATTCCACGACCAGATGCAGCAGCAATCGGTTTGTGCGTGTAGCATAAAAATCTTTAGTAGAACAAATACGCGAGTGTTGTGCACCAAAATGTATAATACAACGATTGCGCGCCTTTACAATACATCATAATCTTTGGAACATAATTGCAAAAATCAAAGAGTTCTTGATGTTCTCGATGTCATCTCATCGGGTTTATTGGGTGTCAGAGCCTCGTTAAACGTTTTCCTCTAAAAATCGAGGTTTCAGATATTTTCATCCGCCGAAGGTAATCTTTGAATTTGGACAGTGACGACGGCTATTCTCCCAGTAGCTTTACCTTTGTAGGCCGGTAAACAGTTTGGCATCAGTGGATAGCTTCATTGTCCGAGTTAATGCTGTCGTGACAAGTGATGTGCAAACTGGGAGCCTTGAGAATCAAGTTTAATGTCTTGGTGTGAAGTTTAGTCAAAGGCAAGAATCAGGATTGAATTGATGAGGTGGTTCTTTTTTCTCCACTGGCATTCCACCTCTCGTCTTGCCGGTAGAGAAGGTAGAGAAGAGAGAGCATAGCAGATCAACGTGGCGACGCAGACAAGATATCGAACGGTGGGCGGACCATGTTAAGTTTGGTGGAGTCTGTTAGAAGTCCATGGCGCCTAGGGTCCTAGTGACGCGTTTCGATGTAGAAAGGTGGCGCTACCTTTGCACTTGCGTACCCAGCACTTCTAGCCATGGTAAGGGCTTCTTAGGTGGGTCTGAGCCCGAACTTTGCCTTTAAGGTGTTGAAGATTCAGTTATGAAATTCCGTGCATAA